CCTGGTCACTCTGGGGCACTTTGATTTGTTTTCTGGAGTCAAACCACCCACTTATCCCCGTTCGGAGTTAACACTGGACTTAGGGTTTGTTTCCTCCGGTGACCTCTTCTATTGATATACTGTGGTGCTAATACTCCGTAGTATATCTCGGCTTCATCTCGCGCTATACATTGTTCGATGGCCGATGTCCGACGTCTGACACGTGCTCGCAAATGTGATGCATCCATACCGCAGCACCAGCGAACGACATACGGGGGAAATTTCACATTTCTTTTAGTCATCTATGTTGACTTATCAGCCTATGGGAGTTTCTGATCGAGTCCTGTTGGCACTGCGCTGCTGATCTGGCTAACTCGGGAAATTATAGTTGACATGGCCTGATGGTGTGCTTCTTCACCGTTTTGAGTACTGTTAGTCCGCTTTGCATATCAATCTATTAGGTGTAGGTGTTATATGCTGCTGCCTGGGGTTTTGAACGTGACAGCCGTGAGTTGTCATTATATATAGAATATTTCTCCTGTTTCATATCTGGTGTAATCTTACAAATATATATTTGTGTATCTACATCCCATGCCACAGTTACTACTCTCGAAGCCACTTTCATGCATGGCCCTATTGATAATCGTTGGAACGGCCTAGGGCAGGAAATCCATTCACCAGAGATTGTAATTCGTATTCCATCCAGCTGATCTGTGTTGATAGAATTCTGTACAAAACTCAATATCAGAATGAAAATGAGTTTCAATATTGTCGCGGGGTATTTCCGGTTCAACGGGTAATCTATCCGCAGCCCACAAAGTTTATACTAGTTTTTGTTTACTATATCTACGATGCTTGCACCTCTAAATTCGCACAGGTTACTCCCACGGGATGATCATTAGACTACTTAGGAGGTAAGAGCAACTAATCCGGTTTCCTAACTATTGAGTGACAGTAATATACATGAGAAAATTATTCGAAGGAACCTCCTGATTATAGTTTGTGCGTATACACTACTGTGTATATACTCGGCCCAATAGGAGAACGAACCAGAAAAAAGCACGTTAAGATGGAGAGTTCATAACTCACCAACGATATCATTGTCATAGTTTAAGACGCGAGTGATGAAGAGTTCTACAATTATGCTTCTGATGTTAGATGGTCTTTGTCTGAAGGCGGCACTGACCTCCCCATGGGAAAACCGAACTTAATCAGAGATGCAGATTAGCACAGTGCATATATTCATCCCATCTTGGAGACGAGCATACTGCAGATATGTATACCGTAGTCCGGTGCTTAATGACCATGTGTGATGGCTATGGGGATTTGAATAAATTGACTGTCCACAGTACTTATATACCCTCCGCGAACGAAGAGAAAAACAGACACTATGCTACCAAGAACGAGGAAAGGGGTCTTTTTTTGGCCCAAAATAAATCAGAAACACTCGCCAGAACCCTAGTAGAATGAAGTTTATGGAGGTAATCTACCTTGGTGACTTGATTGATCGCCTGAAACATGCAGAGGACTAGTAGTAAAACTAGGGTTATTGGCACCTTTATTCTTAGTAAGTGTTTCTAATGGCAGAGGACCGTGACGCGTCATACAGGTGATATGAGGTTCTGGGTGTGCATAGACTCTATTCAAGTGCATATGTCCCATCCTTGTCCATATTCCTTGGGTCTATTGAAAGACGTAGCTAGTTAGACTCTGATTGACTACTTGGCCTGTGAAGATTGCTCAGCGATAATAGCGGTGTGATGAGGACTAAAGAAATACCCGAAGCGCCTTGGTCGGTGCCAGAAGTAGTGTGTGGTACCAGTACTCCGTGCAGGGACTACTAATCCATGTGTGACCTCCCCCCCTTTTTTTTTGAAGACCGCATTCACTAGGAAACCAGCTCCGGTTCTTTATTCATGTATAGCTGCTATGAGTTGCTAGCAGTGATAATGTTGTAGCCTATTAATAGACATAGAAGAATAGAAAATGTCGCTATAGATGTTTAAACCCGCCTCAGTGAAGTCCAAAACTAGTCACTCCCATATTCCTGGGTATCCAAACGCATCTTACATGCGTAAGCTCGCTAAAGGTCATGCCCGAACGCCGAATGGATGCTCTCATTTCAGTAGAACCAAGATATCGCTGTAAACGCCGGAAAATGCTAAACTCTGTCCAGAATTAGGGGTCAAGAACTATCATCAACAGGGTCGTTGTCCTCCATCTTATGTTTCTGCTTCAAGGCATCGATAGCCTTGGTAACCTGCTCCTTGGCAATGGTCTCCAGGTCAATTTTCGCATCAGCTGCGATGGTTTCAACGTCGCCCACTCGTTCATATAACATTCGGGATATATTCCGATTGATGTCAGTGTACTCGTCCTTCGACACAGTCTTTGAACGGTAGTATGGCTTCAAGGCTGCACCGACCAGTTTCTGTATGTCGGTTTTGACCGCTAAGGATAGGCTGGGCCGGCTCGGAGACTTGTCGTTCGCTCTAAATAGACTCGAGCGATATGCTGCCCTTGGAATCCGGCGTCGGGTGCTATCTGAGAACCCTTGCGACGGCGTATCGTCTGTAGAAGTTGGAGAAACATCGGGCGAGAAGGGTGGCGACGAGAGATGATTGGGTGTCGCGAGCTGTAATGGGGATATCGGCCTACTCCTTGGCTGAGGTGGGGGTGTTGTGGAGGATAGGCGGGGTGAGGGTTGGTTAGATGGCACGGGCGAGATTGATGGGGAAGACGGCCCAGGAGTAGCATGGTCAGTTGCTGCAACTGAAACCTGGGCAGAATTCCCAAGCGAATTGGTGTCGTTCGAAGCGTCCTCGACTTCTTTCAACAGGGACTGAAGGAAGCTTGGTTCGCTTGAGGTTTCCGCGTTGATTCGAGCGGAAGCCTGCGCACCAGCAGCCCTGGAAGACTCGCCATTCTGAGTAGCTAAAGCAGCTAAGTCTTCAGCTCTGCGGGTTCGTGGACGTTTTAGCTTCCGCTCGGGCTCTGTGGGTTCCGGCGAGGGAGACATAGTCGGTTCCTTCCTTTTCCGGGCCGCACTAGGATCATTCTCGATCTCACGAGCCCTCTCAAAAGCATTCCACGCCCTCATCTCTTCCAAAGACTCGGGCTCAGGCGTTGGCTCCCTCGGCACACGTGGCCGCGATGGTCGCGGAGCCTCAATATCGAGTAAGGCAGCCGTATCCCTGAAGCGGTTACTACCACCTTGTCGCTCTGCAACTTCAAAACGACGCTGCCAAGCTCGGAACTCTCGCTGATTGGCTTCTTCCCGTCGTTGTTGCTGTCGGGCACGCTCGGCTGCCCTATCATCATCAAACGGAAAATCCAAGTCGATGTTAAGGTGATCCCAAACGGACTGCCATACTCGAGCCCAGTGAAGGGAGTTCATCTGATTGCGGCTCTGTAGCTGCCGCTGCTGTGCCCTCGTACGGCGACCGCGCCGGTCCTGAGCCCGCGATGGCCTATCAGTACTGTCGGGGGACAGCGCTCGAGCACGTTGGGTCTGGCATCGTGAACAGTACCAAGGCCCAGACGGGACAGTATCAAGCCCCAGGCAATACGTGTGCGAGGGGGCATCGCACCCATCGCATAGAAGGAGAAACTCTTCGTTATCAGAATCTCCGCATATCAGACAAGGTGAGAACCCGGCAAGATCATCTTCCTCGATGTACTCTATCACCATCGAAGGATCGACATCCGCAACCTGAACGCGGTCCTGTACAGCATAAGAGGAGAGTACGGGGCCTGTTGAAGATAAAATCGTTCAATTAGTATCTAAAATCATCCGACTCCACAAAATTGAGGGTGGTAGGTAGCGACTGTGAAACATACCTCCGATTCGGTCACTGAGCTCCACAACGTTGAAGCTGCGGCGGCATATTGGACAGCTGTTCGCTCGTTCAACCCAGGGCTTCAGACAATTGTTATGTAAGACATGACCACAGGGGAGTAACTGGGCGATCTGACCAGAATCCTCACTGCCATCCACGCCATCTGCCTTGACGAAGGTGTCGGTCGACCTGCCGTTTACTTGAGCATCAAGTCTTGGCGCGGCCTCGGCGGAGACGGCAAGAGGATCGCTGGCGCTTTCGCCAAGGTCTCCTAAACACACAATACAAGTGTCGGACATTAACAGAGGGTTCTGTGCCAGGACTATCTGCAGGAAAGCTAAGAGAAGGCATGAAGAGCAGCTGGCAGAAAGGGATGAAAGGCAGAGGAGTGGAAGGAGAAGGGAGAGAGAGCAGGTCGAGTGATGTGGGGAGAAAGCAACCGGCCTTTTGAGGGTGGACCTAAAGTCTGGTCTAACGCAAAACAGTCTGGGCGTCAACGTGACCTACCAGGCGCCAGGCGAATCATTGTTCAGGAAAATCGGACGAGGCACTTTGGGCGCCCTGAAGGTTGCTGACTCTTGACTTCCAGAACACTATTGTAGCTGAAAAGGTGCCCTTGCATCCCTACTATGAGACATGCCCCTCTTGTCTCCCTCTTGTCTTTTCTTTTTCTTTTTCTTCTTGGTTTTTTTCTTCTTCTTTTCTCCTTACTATCAGACCGCCTGTGTAACGTAAACTTGCGCGGTAGAATTGGAAGAGACAAAACAAGAATGCGAGGAAAAATGATATTGCCAGAGCTTGTCCAAAGCATCTTGTAGTGCTGAATACAGGTAGATCGAAACGGAATGTTAATTGACCCGAAGGCACTCCGGTCTCGGTGCTTGGACAGGGAGGGCAATGCTTTTGTCGAAAGCTTATTCTTCATAGGGGCAAAGCGATATGCTACATTTGAACGCAGAATCATGGAGAAAAGACGCATAGATAGAAACACAAACCAACGAAAGATAGATGGCCTACTCCGCACGGTTATCTCGTTGGGTGCACGAGTTTACTCCACATGTATTCCAGCAGTCTTGTGCTGTCAGAAGACCTGGTCACACGTATGAAGAACTCGAGAGTGATCGTGAGCGAAACAAAAAGATCCAGCGTGATACGAATGAAAGAGCGGTAGAGGCAGCAGACATGGTAGATGTGGGATAGCTGATACGGAGTCTTATTTGTAGAAGACCTGAGATCACGGGTTATATTTGTGTCTATTGGTTAAGTACCATTCGGTCCAGATAATGGCTGGGTATTCGTAACGAGGAGCCCTTGGGAGCTTTCCAGATCTTGAATTTCGCTATTTTTTATTTCAAACGTAAGATAAAGAAAATCCCATCGTGACACTTAAACCTCCGCGATTTCCCTGAGACGACGGATGGTGGAGCGGGTGGCAGCGGCGGCGGGGGTGCTGTAGCACAATGATCGATCAGTATTCGTCCCACATCTTCACCACGCGGTACACAGTCCAGTATGAACTGCCCCGTGGCCATCGAAAATAAAAAGGATGGGGCTCGACTTACGAGACGGTGTAAGCACCACCGGCGACGGTCTTCTTGCAACCCTTGCACTCCCAGATACCAACAGCCTGGCGCTTGACGGTGTTCTTACCGCAGAAGGTGCAGACGTAGCGGGCGTGCTGGGACACTTCCATCTTCTTCACCTGCTTACGCAGGGAGGCACCGTATCTGTTAAATCACGTCGTCAATACATTGTCCAACTCGTCGAAAGCTCGATTTCGAATCCTTCATTTAAATGTGCGGAATCGGAAGGCGATCGGCTTCACATTGATTTCTAGGCGAAAGGGCGCAAGAGCATACCTGGTACCATATTTACCCGTGATACCGACCTCTGGAGGATTATGTTAGTCTCAATTTATTTTCCAGTTATCTATTAGGCGTATTTCTCTATAATAGAGCACTTACTCTTAGTGCGCTTGGTCATCTTGTCTCCGTGCAGCTGTTGAGGTCGAAGATGGATACAGTGCGGTAAGTCGAAATCGAGACTGAGGCTTTCAAGTGGAAGCGGTTGTGGGTGTCCAGGCTCGCTTAGGGTTCAAGTCTTGGCTCATCACGTGACTGCTATCTCCGCGAACTATGAACAATTCAATGGGTAAACCTCCCACCAACATCGAGGGGGAAGAATAGATTTTCAAAATACTACATCGTGGTAAAACAAAAGATAGGAATGAGACGTATGTCTGTACAACAAATCATTCGGGCCTCAAGGCATTCATGAAATCCTCTCATTTTCAATGTTTCGTGCCAATTTTCTATATTTTCTATCTTATCTAAAATTTCAAGGCCAAACTCGGCTAGTCTGGCCCGCATGACATAAGAGGGCCTCAAATGCAACCAAAGGCCTTTGCACAACAGTAGTCATTGGATCTTTGCCACATTATGTTATCAAGGCAATGCTGACACTTGTGCAATGCTATACATGTATGCCTTGTGAATTGAACGCTTGGACATACCTTGCACATTATTCTTCCATCATAGGGGTATCCTGTATTGAATACTAATTGCCGAACAATTCTTTCGCCGGTCTAGTCACCTGAACATCAAGCGGGATGGGCCCTTTCCACTTCTGGTTAGTCTAGCGGCCAAGGCGATCATCTCACGTCACCGAGCAACCATGCTTAAGCTATCTGTATCTACGCGACGTTACTACTAGTAGTAGATCCTGCGTCTTTCCTTGAAGAATATATACTTTATCTAATTGTCTGTGTAATTTGCTCAATCTCAATTGCCGGTGTATTCTCCCTACCTTTGACAATGGAGTCTAAGAGTTCGACCTGATCCTTCTAGGCCCAACTGGTTACACAGGTAGACTCTGTGCAGAGCATATTGTTAAGAACCTTCCCACAGGTTTAAAATGGGCTCTAGCAGGGCGTTCGCTCCAGAAGATTGAGAATGTTGCCAAAGAACTCAAGAATCTGAACCCCGACCGCGCCGAGCCAGGTACTATATGAATCGGTACTACTGTGAGAACAAACATTGTTAACCTACCATTAGAAATTCTGGCTGTCCAGCTCAATCGGGAGGAATTGCACTCACTCGCTCAGAAAGGCCGTGTGCTTCTCAACTGCGTTGGGCCATATCACCTATACTCTACTCCTGTAGTTGAAGCTTGCGCCAGCAACGGAACGCATTACCTTGATGTGTAAGTAATTCATTACAGTCAGGCAGTGGACGCTATAGCTAATCTGTGTAGCACTGGAGAAACGCCCTGGATCAAGAGTATCATCGAAAAATACCATGAAACTGCCAAGTCAAACGGTGCTATAGTGCGTGCCATCTCCTTATTCCTGTTCTCATATGTTGATCCCCTGGCTGTTTTAGATAATCCCCTCTGTTGGCGTCGAGAGTGCTCCTGCAGATATGTTGGCTTGGGCCCTTGTTAAGCGTATACGTGAGGAGTTTTCCTGCGATACCAAGGAAATTACGTGCGCAATTGATGAAATGAAGTATACCAGCCGCTCCTTGACCACCCTACCGAATGCATAGTGCTAACTACGTTGCAGGTCCTCCGGGGCAAGTGGTGGTACTCTCGCGACGGTCATGACTATGTTTGATACACTCTCGTTGCTCGATATACTCAAAGCAGCAGACCCGTTTGCGCTCGCCGCATCCTCGCCACCCAAATCTATTCCCAGCGAACCACTCGCGGAAAAAGTGCTGGGTGTCCGCTCAGTCCGTGACATGGGCACTCTCACCACCGCTCCAACAGCAATTGCCGACATTACTATCGTGCATCGGAGTAGTACGTTGATGCCAGAGTTCTACGGGCGTCGCTTCCATTTCAGACAATTCCTTAGGGTGAGGAACGCGCTCATTGGTGTTGCACTGCATTTTGCCTTCGTCACTGGCTTGTTACTTCTGCTCTTGCCCCCCGTTCGGTGGCTATTGAAGAAGTATATTTACGCGCCCGGTAGTGGACCCCGCATGGAGGACTCGATCAATGACCGGCTGGTATACCGTGCCGTGGCGACAGCTGATCAGGACACGCCGGATCCTAAGCGTGCACTTGGCAAGTTGAAATACGATGGAACTATGTATGTTTTCACGGGGCTCTTGCTGGCAGAGGCAGCCATGACTATTCTGGAGAATGAAGAGAAAGTGAAGAAAGTCTCTCGTTGTGGCCTTGTAACTCCAGCTACCTTGGGCCAGGAATTCATTGACCGGTTGGAGAAGGTTGGATGTCAAATTGAGACCGAAGTGTTCAAGTACTGATGACTGTCTACGACTGCGATGTTGACTTACATTCTAATGCTTTGGAGGGTTAGGCTTTTTTTTTTTTTTTTGTGTGTGTGTGTTTAACGTGCTTGCATGTATTGTTGCACTGTGCCAGTCGAATTAATGCTCCTCTAGTCAATACACACAATGAAATATTGAACATCTATACAGCATCATCGAAACATTATCTAAACCATACAATTCTGGACAGCCCTCAAATAAAACGATATTTAATGCACATAGTCAGGGCACCGTCCTCAACATAGATAACCAAACAAAGGATAGTAAAACAAGTCACACGAATAACACTACAGATATGTACAGCACACCAGCGTCTGCATATCAACATCGAAATCCATCACAACTTGAACATCCTCGGGTCTCGGAACACAACCTCCTCCAACCACCACGCAATGATCTCATTGACCTCTCCTGGTTTCTCCCATAGCGCCCAATGCGAGGTATTGATCTGCTTGAAGGTCATATGGGGTATAGTCCTGGTCATTCCCCTGCCGAGATGTGCCGGAAGAGCCGTATCGCGGAGGGCCTGAATGAAGAGCACCGGAGCAGTGATGTGTTTGTTGAGGATGGCGAGTTCCTCTCTGTAATTGATTTCCCGGGTTCGGTACCAGTTAACTAGGTGCACTTGTTAGTCGTTTTCTAACTTTAACTCAATTGACAAATACAAGGGGTAGCGTACATGGACCATGGAAGCCGTTCCTCGAGAACTCCTCCGCATAGTATTCAAGTTCCTGGAAACTCTATCAGCATAACCGATCCTATGTTTATTGGTGGAGGGGTAGAATGGCAATAACCTACTTCCTCGCTTAATAACTCTGAGGGGAGTACACGCGCCAACTTGTCGGGCAGAATGCCCAGCTCTGCATCAAACGCCATTTCGTTTTCAGGGGTCCGCCCGCCGTACATGGCGGAGAGGAATCTCTTGATATCTTCTTTGGTCTGAACGTATTTATCCAGTTCTCCGCTGATGAACTGTAGCTGATAATAGAAATGAGGCGCTATCTTTTCTACCATGTCTTTAAGGCGAAAGTATCGCCTCGTTGGCGCGGCGTATGGTACACAGACGGTGATGATGTGTGTTACTAGCTCTGGGTGCCAGAGGGCTACACGGTATGCGAGAGCGGCGCCCCTATGTACATCGAGATTTAGCAACTTTGACATCGATGTCTAAAACCGGCAATTGAGGTCCAAGGAGCAACATGAACATACCAATCATGTCCGGCGACAATAATTTTGGAAATTCCAAGCTGGAAGGCGAGTTCTTTGATATCATTGGCGCACCTCTTGTGCGAATAATGATGTGGATCTTCTGGAGCGTCCTGTTTATCCACATTGTTAGCATTGTTGTATTGTCCATATACCGGTAGATCCCCGGCAATTGGCATTCTGGCGCGTACCGTCCTCCCGTACCCTAGGCAGTCTGGCGCAATGACCCTCAGCCCCATATCCCTCAACATGGGAATCTGATACCGCCACCCCATTGACAGATCTGGAAAGCCATGAAGCTAAAAACCATGAATTAGCCTTTGGTTGTTTTCCCTTTGTCTTTTGCGTTATTTGCAAAGACAATTCGTGATTCCGGTGTCTCACGCACAAGAAAGATGGTCCCTCTATATGATACCCCTGTATCGGGCTCACTGTAGAGATAACCTGCGGGAACATATATCGTCAGCTCATATACCCCCCATCAAATCACAACGTTTACAGCATCGTATATCCAGGGGAACAAGAAATCCAGACCCTCATCTCCAGCCCAGATTCACGGCTTTGGAAAAATGATATTCACATACCATATGTCTTGCCGTTGATATCAGCGAAACGGCGCTCGACTCGGAGATCGTCGGTTACATGGATCTTATCAACGATCATGATTGCAACGCAAGGGCTGGAAGTTGTACAGCTTCACGGGTTAATGCAAGGTAAAGAAATAACGAAACCCGTGAAAAGCAGAAGGAAAATTTCTGGGTCAGGTTATCCTGCGCATACCGACTTTTTCTTTTATTTATAGAGCTGTATGGAGACCCCCGCCAGCTGTCTGTCACGTGAACCAATGCTGATGTATGGAAAAATGAGGCTACAGGCTAAGGATTGGGCACTAGTATTATTAAATGTTGAGAGGATCTTGGAAGACTAGTTTGATGGAAGGCGTTGTCAACCGGTATATAAGAATGTGATTTGTAGTGATCTTCAGAGCCAATGCCGCTAAGTTGTTGACTCCGCCGGATAATCCATAGCCTCGGTTGTGCCCGTTAAGGTACGATTCCTTAGATGCAGGAGACACCTCCCAATGATAGCTCACATACATACATACCAGTCGGTGTTAGGAGAAAAAAAAATTTTTAAGATAAATAAAAAAGTTGAGAACCAACGGAAAAAAATTGGTATCGCCTTGCATTTAGTAAATCACTGTATCCTCGTTATCCTCGACAACCTCGCCACCGTCGTCGTCAGCCCCTCGATGAACGTCTGCATGGTCATTATTGATAGATATATTATTAGTAGTAGCAGCCGTAGCATCGTGTGGAGCTGCTTCAGAGTCTCTATTGTGGTTAGTCTCAGCACCCACCGTGTCAGTCTCACGGGTTGCATCCTTGTCCTCTTTAAGTTCTGCTTCAGGTTCAGGGGCTTGGTCGCGGTCTTCTTGTTGTGCACCCTCGTCTTGTTTCTTCGGAGGCTCCTCTTCATGGGCTGGATAACGCGCCTCGAATTCTGCCACCTCTCGAGCAACTGTGGCTTCTGCTTCTTCAACCTGTTCACGTATGATCGCTTCATCTCCGGACCGAAGCTGCCATGGCTTATAGTACTGTAGAGACAGTGTTAGTTAAGTCCAGGGTTGTAGATGAGGCAGGTAGGCATACTAATACAGGCTCAGTTTTTGTCTTGAGGAAATGAGACATTGCCAGTAGATTCGAGTGTCGCGTGCGCATCTGTAAAAGATCATCCGCTTGTCAGCCCTACACCGGAAAGTAGACGATACCCCGATCCAAGAAAACCTACCGATTCCTCTTCATAGAGCCTCTGCTCCTTCTTCCGGATAGCGACCCGTTCCTCCCGTCTCTTCTTCTTCAACTCGTCGTACTCTTCATCCTGCAACTTAAGCTTATCCTGTTGTCGCCGTTCAATATCCGCACGCCGCTTCTGAGCCGCCGAATTCGAGCTCTGCGAAAGCGTCCCCAGTAAAGCACCGAATAGACGTTGTCCACGCTTGCGTTCCTCCTCACGTCCACCTCGGCCGGGCCTCCGTTCTGGTTTGCGTTCCGCTCCATCCGGGGAAGATTGTTTGCGCTCCGCAGGTGATCGGTCGCCCGTGTGCTCTTGTTGTGAGCTAAGGCGACGGCGTTTGCTCTCTGAGTCGGCTTCCGCAACGGAATTTCTTCGCTTCAAACCAACATCCGGTGATGGGGGAAGGTTGTCCTGTTCGGGCAGTACAACTGCCGAGGCCAGTGTCCTACTCATATACGCTGTCAGCAGCTGTCTCGGAGCTGTATCGAGTTGACCGCTTACCCTTCAGCCATATCTGTCTGTTCCAAAGTAGTCAAACGCGCCTCGACACAAACACGCTAATATAGGTGGGGAATAACAAATGCGTGGCACCGACTAGCGATTATGCGGTAAGCATGAAATAGACGGTGAAGACAACCTGCGTTAAAGTTGACTCCTCAGATCTGCAGAATCGATCCTCTGAAAACTACTCGGTATCGCGATATGAACGGCGGGCCTCCCGTGTCCTGTCTACGCACGGACCACATTCCTGATATGGAGCGTAAGTTCCGCATGGAAACTTCTTCCCTTTCCTTCGTCTTCTCGAACACCTTCGCTCAGGTTCATAACTCCCTCTGTCCTACAACACTTACTAGGGCATTTGCCAATCATTATAATTGAAACTTTTCTTTCGCGAAGAACGTTTTTCACTCGGAGTTTTCTCTATACCCTGTTGTTAGCCATTCCACTTGAGCGTCTGTTGCCTTTGTCTCGCTTTCTGAAGTCACCATGTCTCGCCACCACCCCGATCTCGTTATGTGCCGCAAGCAGCCGGGTATCTCCATCGGCCGACTGTGCGACAAGTGTGACGGCAAATGCCCCGTGTGCGATTCCTACGTGCGCCCCACGACTCTCGTTCGGATCTGCGATGAGTGCTCGTTCGGTAACTACCAGAACAAGTGCATCGTCTGCGGTGGCGAAGGAATCAGTGATGCTTTCTACTGCTTTGAATGTACGCGACTAGAGAAGGATCGAGACGGGTGTCCGAAGATTATAAACCTGGGAAGTTCGAGGACGGACTTATTCTACCAAAAGAAAAGTTTTCGAAATCATTGACCCCGCGCGATGGTCACTTTCACCGCTTGTCGGTCTTGTTCGGTTCGAGTCTATGGCGGAAATGACTACTCCGCGTTCTACGTTCCTGTCCCTTGCTAGAGCGATAAGCCAAGGATTCCGCTGTCTCGGGCAACTCCAAAAGATAACTTAATTACAGAAGAAGAGAGATGATGGAAAGATAGCAATCTAGGAGGCTGGAAGATAGCACCCTCTACCTGCCGGGTCTTCTCGGTCTTGCGAATCCACGGTTTAGTCCGTCGTTTTGTGGCGGGCTCACTTCCTCCTGCAGCCTGTCGCCTGTGATCTCGTCGGGCGAAGATGCTTCGATCTGCACACTCATCGTTAATTGTCTCAATCAAACATCTGCTCACGACATGAACTCGTACCTTCTTAGAAATCTTCAGACCTTGGTCTTCGGCCAGTTGGAGGGCGTACATTCGGGAACTAGCATATAGCATACGCTCCTTGATCGACGAACCCGACGGGCAAGTATAGACGAAGATCACCACGTCAGTATCGGGATAATGATAAAATGTATAACGTGGCGAAGATGGGGAGATGTGAGACTCGACGGAGCTGGGGACAGTCCCGTTCTCTACCCCAGCAAGGACGAATGTCTCCCTTGGAATATCAATGGCCTGTATTTAGGGGAAAGTAGAGTTAGCACTCAATCAAAACCTTCAACAAGTTGGAAATTCTTCTTCGCTCTCCACATGGACTTACCAGCTGCACCAAGTCACCCGGCTGGAGACTGCCCAGAGCATTCTTTGCCTCGTCATCTACAGGCATCTTGTACTGCATGCTGGATGGTGCTCCGATACTACCATTTCTTCTAGCAAAGGAACCCCCGATTCCGATGTCCCTACCGGGGGTGCCACTTCTCGCCTCATCTTCGGCTCTCCGGACGGCTTCCAACTCCCGCTCTTTCTCGCCCATGAGCTCCTCGCGCTGAGAACGGCTCTTGCTAGAGCCGTTCTTCTCGGCATCTCTTTCCTTCCACGCCTCCTGACCCACAATCTCATCCTCTTCAGTCGCGAAGACAGTCGAGGCAAACTTCTCGCTGCCTAGTTCCCTAACCAGCGTTGCACGGGTAGAAGCGAAAAGGGTCTTGGCGCGCACCGGAGCATTGGAGGGGATGTAGGTCAAGGCGACGAGAGACGAAGACCCAGACTCCGGACGGCGAAGAAGAAGATAGATGGGGGTTTTCGGCTGGAGGACGGAGGAGAGCTGAGAGAGAGAGGGGTAGAAAGCACCCGGAGAGGAGAAGGGGATGGGCGAAAGGGGAGTCAGACTCTCAGCGGTGATATTCACCGGGAGGCAGAAGATTGATGAGTCCGAGACGAAGTTATTGAAGGCATCATGTAGCTCCGAAGAGACTAATCAATATAATGGTTGTTAGTGTTTCCTGTGCATACTTCGGTCCAGTAGAGAGCCGCGGGGCACGCTTTATGGTAATCGTAGGATGCAAGACCCTGCAGTATGGCTGCTTACCCGAGATTCCTGACTGCATTTTCAATGAACACCCGCCGTAGCCTGGTCTCTTGTGTAGATGTGACTTGTCAACCTGGCTGCGGTGTTGTCTCTGGAGACTGCTGAGGGGATGTCAGAAGCGGTGTGCTTGGACAAGTGGGGTCTTAGCATTAGCCTTAGTTTTCGGGATATTTACGCCGACATTTACCTGTCCTATTTTCTAAACAACTGGTCTTCACTCAACCGATTCAAGGCAACTTGGTCTCGAATTTGTTTAATATCTTCACTAATTGAACATAGGAAAAGGTATAACAACAAAACTAACAGAAAGAAAAAGAAAAAGAACTATGTACAGTCCACGCTATAAGATCAAATCTAAACGGCCGTCAAGAAGCCCAGAAGATAACGACAATGATATGTACTGATGATGCAGAGATCGCATTGCAATCGAAAACGCCACCATGCTCATGGTATCAAATGCTTTCGAGAACACGCAGTGGCCACTCCCTCCAGGGGTGCCAAATCTACTCCTCAAAACTACCTCCCACAAAGGCCCAGTTGGATTTCTCCAGCTTGCCCTTGAGGAATTCGTACACGGTGAAGGTGACGGCCTGACCAGGAGCCACTCTCATCACACGAGGAGTAATACCCTTGTAGAAAGCGCGTGCACCTTCCTGCTTGAACATGTCATTGGCGATGGCCATGATACGTGACACAGCTGATTGGCCGGGCTCAGCACGGGTTTTTTGCAGCCTCGTCTTGATTGTGTCGATGGGGGCGTTGGAGAAGGGACCGACGGCACCGGAGATCAAACCAATCACGGTCGTCTGGTAAGAGGGGAGCTGAGTATCGGCGTACTCTGGCTGCCATTTTTGGAGCGCAGCCTTCAGCTCGCTGTATGCAGTAAAGTTGGCAGCCTGGTTTGTTCCCTGTCGGAGGGCTGTCAGGGAGACACCACGGTAAAGAGCGCTGAACCCTTCTTCCTTGATCACGGTGAAAAGTGCATGCGGGGCACTGCGGTACTTAGGAGCATCGAGAGGGTCGGCCAAACTGTGATACTGCGCTTGCAAACGAATCTTGACGACTTCCATAGGGTTGACGACTGCCACAGCTTCGGTAACACCAGCAGAGAGACCGGCTGTTTGAATGAAACTTGTCAGTTTTCCAGGCAATAGAACACGAGGTGATGCGCGAAAACCTACCAAGGAAAGTTGCTTTGCTTGTGACATGTCCCGTCTCATCCGCAAGCATTTGCTTGTACCACTCATAGGAGGTGAAACGGATAGCCATCTTGGGAACAATACCTCCCAGGACAGCTCCTAGACCCTTGTAGAGACCCAGAGCGGTCTCCTTCTTCACAATCTCAACACCAGTGGCAACAAACCCGCGGGGTTTTACACCCGGGGCTCTGGCGCGCCGCGAAAGCTGCATCCGGACCTTAACGGTATCTAACCATGACAGTGAGCCATTGCCTCTGAAGAAATCTTGAATTGGGTATTCCCATACCTAGAGGATGACATACGAGCGCCTCCATCATTCCGGCGCCACCACCAGCTGGTTCACAGGTTAGCACGTGCAACCTTTTTTAGTTGGACAAAATGAGCCTTACCGATCAAGTTCACAGCCGGAGAGGTAGGCTTCTTGCTGTTGCCATTGCCATTGCCTTGCGCACTCTTCGTCGACATGGTGGGCGACTGTGGTTGTGCAATTACTGAATTGTTTTCGAGTCAATTGAGGTGCAATGCCCTTCCAATGAGGAAGTATAGTGGTCTAGGTCAATGCGACGGTATGGGGAGAACAGCGGCACGCGAAAGGGAAAAGAATTGAAGCGAAAGGAGGTCGAGAGAAAGATGACTCAATCGTCAATCGAGCGCCAGGGATGACTTTTTTTTCTTAAAGAAAAGGATATCGACGATATCGGACATTCACAGGGCGACCTTAAAATACGGGGAGATACGGAAGTATAGCTACGACGTCCCTCGGCACAACTGACACAGGGTATTTAAATCGGTGGATAGGGAAAGGGGGGGCACACTCTGGGGTTAAAGGATTTAGAAATAATAATAGATAATTTTCGGGAATGGGGATCATTAAACGGGCTCGGGTCAAGTGGCGGCTTTCTTTTTTAGGCTTCTTGTTACAGCGAACCGGCCGTGGAGGAGCTCTGACGGGGAAGCGGAGGGAAGCTCGCTGGACGAGCGGAAGACAGCCGCGATTCAACCGAATCACCATGAGAGTCCAAGTAACAAGGTTCTTTGAATTGAAGCGGAATTAAATACAGTCAGTCTACAAGCCTTTGTAGGCTTTTTACATATATGCTTGCTTTCCCTTCCACGTCTTCCGCTGGCCGTGTTCTCTACAATGTCAGCCAGACATCTACCGTACGTGACGTATCTCATCCCGAGGTATCGGGATAAATAACTTGAAGCAACTTTCTTCCGCAGTTCGCAGTCAAGCCAAGTGCGGTTCCCCCAGAGTGTGACCTCATCACCCTGCACCAATGACATGACGGAACCAACCCTAATGTCTTCAGCCAGTCAGTTCTTCACATGCTGAACGAGACATTCTGGCCACTGACAGTCCAAGCTGCCGTCGTCACCTGGTGCAGGATCAGTGACTTAAGGCTGCCCTTTGGCTCTAGAAATGCTTGTGATTGATAACTTCTAGTAAGACAACCTGGGGTTGGCGTCTCGCTCTGACTAACCCCATTGTCACGGGAGATGTCGGGCCAAGATGAGAGCTTCGTTCAGCCGAGGCTTTTGCCTTTCTTAGTTCTTATCCGACGGTAGCCCTACTCGGTGACTCTCTACCCCAAATTACCAAGAATTGAAGTCCAACTGCATTAGTGAACTGATCGATCAAGAGGGGTAGGTATTTTTCATATTCTTAACTCCAAGTGGCTTCAAAGATAAGATTTTCTTGCTTGTTCTACATCTGTTCTTTGGGGGTAACATGGAGGCGGCTGTAGATTTATTTCTTCAGCCCTGTCGCGCGGTACATATTTTATCCACGCCTCCTGACTATTTACCCCTTGTCATCTATGCGAATTTGATCGATCTACGGACCCAAGACTTTCACGTTTCAGGGTCGACAAACATTGTTTATACAACTTTCACATGAAAGCTGAATGCATCGTAGCATATGATGACTCTGCATTGTTAGTGTCTTCATAGCAACCGTCATGTATTATGGGAAGTGGATATACACTGAAGGTATGCTGGAACGGAGCACTGTAACAGCCCCATGTATACTTTTGACAATCCCTGCGATATGCAGTTCGTATTAGCTGCAGGATCAGGTTTAATCGGTGATCGAAATGAGTAGCTAAGGGCGATCACATCCCGGCTCAAGATAACATGTATTTGCAAATATCTTGCTCATACACTGGGAGCCTGAGAGCAGCGAAGTTCAGGAACCGCAGCAAATCAGACAGTAGTACATTCCTTATGGCACCGAGTGCAAAGTCGCCATTTTGAACTATCAGGCATGAGAATGGTGGACACTGATTCCAAGTTACTGGTGCCTTGCGCCGTTCGTAAAGTCAAGATTCTACAGGAGCCTTTAATTTATCTTCATAATAATCAACCTGCACGCAAGAGCCAAGTGCCATGAAAAGAGGCTCAATCAAGCTAATATAAACCCAAACAGGCGATATGAATCCCTGACTCTACATACAACTACGAACCCAGTCCTGCATACCTTATCTTCAGAACGAGCCAATGCGCAGCCGACAATGACAAGACAGCCAGCACGCACGGCCCGCATCCAGCAGATCCCAAGCACAACCCTTCTCCTCATCCTACACCTATAGCTCCTCATCGGGATCGGCATCGTCTACACCCTAGCCTCCTAGGCACTTCCCGAGTGTAGCCAAAACCGACGGCGTGCTCCGACCCGGACGTAGCATTCCCTACGGCACACTGGCGCTCATCTTCTCCATCTCGGGACTAAGCCTCCGGCTCCATAGACCCCTTCATTCACTGAACTCTCGTCCAGGCTATGTCGGTTCTCGTCGTTCCGAGCTTGTCCCTGGCCGCCGTCTAAGTTATTCTCGCTGCTGATCAGCACGGGCTTCTTGATCGGGCCATATTGCCGAGATATATCCTCACGGCATGTACCCCGACTACTGCCTCGAATATAGTGATGACGAGGTCAGCTGATGGCGCGAATACAATGGTGCTAGCGGAGGTGTTGATTGCGAAATTTGTTAGGTGCGTTTGGCACAGCTGACTGAGCTGTTGCTTTTTTACCGGATACAGTTGAATTCGAGCTCTGGAGGTCCAGCGGGGATACTCTATCGGATATATATAAGAGTATGTTTAAGCAATTGGGCCCGAGCCTGCTAGCTAGTACACTTAGTATTGAATCAGCTGTACCTACAATGGACATAGCCGCCTCGAACGGCGGGAGCTCTCCCTTCTGAAAATCGATCCGTAGTATATAAATGTTTGCTTCTGATAGGCTGACCCGCTGTCCCTCTCCCATACACCAAACATTATACCGGATATTGCATCTTCTTCCTCACATCTCAAACTATCCAGTACTGATTGATAGATTCCGGGCCTGCGGTCTCCTCTCGTCTCGCAACGAGGGTATTGTAGACCCGTTTGGGCCAAAGTGTCATATCCACCGTCGTATTTGATGTAGATTTGTATGTCTTCCTCACTGGAGTTTGTTTATGTCTTTCCCATCCGCCTGCGTTCCTGCGGTGGTGGGCCTGGTAAAGGTATATCCGTGGTCTGAGCGTAGAGTACGGGACTGGGAATCTTGTTGCATGCTATGTGGACGCTGGTCGACTTGCATGTTAAGGTGAAGAACTTTCCGGTTTCGTGTACAGTTGAGTGGGCTTGTGTTGCACATTGCTTTGTGAATTTGGTTCGGTGGTGGAGGGCTAGAGTGCGTGGGAAGAATGGGCATGAGGGTTGTGGGATTTGCTCTGGTAGGAAGTGACGTGTGCTGGTGGCATGGGCTTGAAGGTAGATTCCGGTTGTTAGAGTAATACTAGGAACATTGGGCACGACAAGTGGTAGGGCATTTTATTTGATATATTTATTTCGTGACTATTGTCCTAAAAGTACTTTCTGAAGCGCACGTAAGTCTTGTAGGTAAATTTACAAAGGAAAAGAAACAATCCTATATAACATCGGCGGAAAAATCCAGTCTAGGTTTCCACCAGACGCCCGCATGAACACCCATGTTTAGCCTGTAAGGCAGCGACTATGGGTAATAAAAGAAACTAAAAATGTGAACCTAAATGTAGCTCACTTTCACACCCATTCCGACGGTTCCCTTGACTTTTTGCCATCCAGCTCCGGTGATTCTCCGGAGACGTTCCCGCACGCCTTGCCTGCTTAGTGCCACCAAGATCCCCAGCAGGAACAGCAGCGTCCGGGCGAACGACATTGGGTTACCGGCGACCGTCCTCGAGATATATCGCAACAGGTTGCGTAGTACGTTTGCCAAAGCTCGCGTTTGTCCGGGCCGGGATACAGGCTTCTCCGGTCTCTTCTTCGAACCAGTGGGCGAAAAAGCAGTTCGATTGGCTGACGTACTTGCCTTACTACCAGATTGCTTCTCGCCCTTCCCTCTGCCCTTGGCACTTTTGTTCGTGTTGGTCTTCTCAATGCCGTAGTCCACCTCACTGTTATCACGCGCATGTCCCTTTTGAGCGTGCTGAGCCGCAGCGGCCTCTTCCTCTGCCCTTTGGCGTTCCGCTTCCTGTATTTCTCTCTCTAGCTGGGCGTCCTTCTCCCGCTGAAGCGCTGCAGCGCGCAGTTCGCCCTGCTCCCTTTCTTCCTTAAGCCCATCGAGAGTTTGCAAGAACATCTCTTTTCGCTCTTCATCGAGGACCTCGCTAAAGTTGATGAATTCGCTCGCATAGTCCCATTCTTCGTTCCTAGGAAGAACATGGAGGGTAAAAAGCTCAATTATCCTAACCCGAGACGTCAAATCTCTCGGCGTGTCGGTGCCGCCGTTAACTCGGGCCTTAGATTGTTGATTGGGAGAATTCTGCAAATGCTCGGCAATGTCCAGGTTTGGTTGACCATATGATGAAAGGTAGTGCTCGAGTCGTTGCTGATTGAGTTGCTGGGAAGGAGAATGATTCAATAACAATGTCGCTCTGCCCGTAGTTAGTCACAATAGAATCAGTAATAGACCAGGATAAGAATTACTGACAAATTATATACGACCTCGGCATCAACTGAGCCCTCGCGGCCTTTATAACCCGTTTGAACAACTGTCTCCCATATTTCGCCCTCGCGCACTTTGGTGGAAATAGCCTTCCACTCTTTCTGGCCGAACGTTGCTTTTCCTTCCTCGGGTCCCAAGTCAAGTATCGCGCTCAGCAGTGTGATGTATAAATTCCAAACTTTGATCCTCACCGAAGCTTGAGCCATAGCAATCGGTGGTAGGGACTCGTTACCGTTGGCATATTGGTCGTCATTTGCCGGACTGGGTACAAGAATGGGTTCAAGAGTGACTAGAGTTTCTTGTAGGCGACGAGTTAAAAAGAGCTGAGAAGCTTTCTTGTAGGTTTTTGAGCAGATCTTCGAAGGTGAAAGGGACGATGCGGAGGTCGAGAGTTGCGACTGCGACGCCGACATGGAATCCTCGGCGGCCATTGTTTCACCGCCAGCGGAGGATGCGATAGATGATTAATGTGGGGGTATGTGGTTCGCGTAGTGGTTACAATATATGCAGTGAAGATTTAAAGGCACAATTCACGCTCAATTGTATCTCAGGGGTGGTTGGGATGCAGCTAACAGGAGGACGTGTCTTGACACTAACTTTCAGGTTGGACGGGTTGCAAGTCGGGGTTCCTTTTCCCTCGGCTCAATCTGATGTGGCCGAATCTGGGGTCTGATGTCACGGGACGGTGGATCTGCGCTGTCTGCCATACAACGATCGGGAAGTCTCCTATCTAATTGCGAGGTTTAACTGCACTACGACCTGGTTATTTTCACATTGTACGGGCCTGAGTTATATATACAAGGAGCAGGAATATCACAGCTCCACTGGAGAAATGAATTAAGATTCACATTACTAACTGGACCCTGGTCCACTTCACATGAAAGATACAAGCCGATCTGCATATTAACGTGATCGTATACAATTCAGCAAGCACTATTATTGCTACCTAGTGAATTAACTATTTTGACCTGATTCTAGTATACTCATTCCGGCCCAGGTCTTGTGTCCATAAGTCTCCTGTGACGGTACGAGATGGATATCACGCCTAAGACTTTCCCCTTCTTCCTTCCCAGGATACTGGATGACATAGCGTCCTGCAGTTTCGTTTCTATAGACTTTGAATTTTCTGGAATTGCGTGCTCTTCAAGTGGGCCAAATAGCAAAAAGTCTACGCTACAGGAGCGTTATGCGGAAGTCAAAGAATCAGCCGATAAGTATCGAATAGTGCAAGTTGGTCTGACAATCTGTCATGAAGACACCGAGTCAGGTAAGAGATGCCCGTTCTCCAGGATTGAGTCAGAGGTATTGATGGCCATGAACACAGGGACCTACATTCTAAAACCCTATAACCTTTACCTGAATCCGACAATCGACCGTAGATTAGAAGTGGAGAGGGATATGTGTTTCCAAAGCAGCGGTATGCCTTCAAGTTTCGTATCTGCGAGATAATGGAACTAAGATCTATTGAAGCCGTTGAATTTCTCTTGGGGAATGGTTTCTGTTTGAATTCCCTTTATAATAATGGTGTTCACTATTTGTCACGAGAAGAAGAGACAATAGCCATAGCCAGAGCTGCTGAGAGGTATGGTCGTACCTCTGTGCGCAAAATGATCGACGTTAAGGAGACAGAACATGACTCTCTGGCGTTCCTGGAGGATGTGCGACATCTTGTTGATGACTGGCTTGCGCTTGGACAGGTAGATTATCTTTGAATTTATTGCTTTGCTCCGCAATTAAACGTCGCTAGGCTCGTGAGGCTTATCTCAACATACCCCCGCCAAAACACTACACCGCGTCTCGAAAGCCCAAATTCATGCCATCGGTCTTGAACAACTTTCAAAAGAGGCTTGTTCATCAGCTAATAGAGGTCGAATACCCGTCTTTAGTGACTATCAGTAGGCCTGCTTTCATTCAAGTCATCGACTATGACGAAGACCGCGAGAAGGCTACCCGAGAACAGAGGATGGCTCGGGCTCGAGAGCAAGTCCGGAGACAGATTGGATTTAGATGGATTATGGAGGCGTTATCCGGTGGCGATCTCTCAGATCTTGGTCCATTTTGTTTTGGGGGCATAATGAAAAACTCGAGAGCCGTGGAACCACAGGTCTCACTACACGAGTTTTCTGACAAATTGCAGCAGTGCTTAAAAACCCGCCGGCCTGTGCTGGTAGGACATAACCTTTTCACGGATGTGGTATATCTTTATCGCTGCTTTTTCGGTCTACTTCCGGATAAGTTGGAAGAATTCCAAGCAATAGCTCATGAGATGTTTCCAATTTTGATGGATACAAAATACATGGCTACGCACGATTGCGGTTCCATCATCCCCAAATCGTCTTTGAGCGAGATCAACGATAACCTTCTTCATATAAATACCCCGAACATACGTGCGGAAACTGCCTCGTCTTGGATGATTGTTGTGCTAAGCTAATTCTTGACCAGGTATACATGATCAGCATTCCAAATATAACAGCCAGAAAATCGACCACGAGGCAGGCTATGACAGCCTGCTTACAGCTCGGATATTTATCAAGCTCTCTGCTCAGCTCCGTGACGGAGGCATTTCCAAGCTCCTGGAACCGGTAGAATTGAAAAGTCAGCCGGATACTACGGGTTCGAACACTACAACCTTGGCTGCCCCAGAAAGCCTGAAGGACACTGCAGAGAAGGAATCGAAGACGACACTCAAGGCACCGACGAGCACCAAGCTTGGCACGAGATTTGATGCGCTTGATTTTGAAGAGATTAAAGATCAAGTTGAAAATATGGCGCTCAAATCGCGTAAATCTAGCAGATCCGTCGACATTACGCGGAAAGTCGCCAATGGTGAACTAATACCCCGGCAAGACGCAGAGTTTTGGAAGCTCTACGGTAATAAGCTGCGTGTTTTTGGAACGGAAGAAAGAGTCTGGAATGTCGCCGAAGAACCAGCGTCCAGCCACATTGCCTAATTTGTAACCAGCACTCTCACTAGGAGAATTATTTTTACATTACCAAGTATACAACCATGATATATTGGCGAGTCTCCTCACAGGCGATGGAAAACAGAGCCACTCCGTCATAATCTACAATGGATCGTAAACCCCCAGGCAAACAGTGTATGTAATGTCAGGGGATGTATGCAGCATCTATCTAACAGTATGCCTTGATTTTGAAGAAGGTACCGCTAGCGAAATCAGCCGCAAATAAGTACTCACTCTGAGCACCGGTAAATGATCGACTGGTCGTGGAGAATCTAAACACAGTGACGATAAGGAAAAGGTGCTGTGAAGAAGAAAAGGAAGTAAGAGCAACAACGGGAGAAAATTTAAAGGAAGAAAAATGGCGGGTCACCTGAGAGTCTAACCTCCCCGGGTTTAGTGTCTCCGGTGCTCTCTCAGCGGACAGGTGACCGCCAACTTTTCTCGCAATATCGGCATCGGACTGTTGACAAGCACGTCAGTATCCAGCAAACACAGTCGGCGAGATGTCGTCGGGATCCAATGGTGCCAGGCGCATAGCGTCTGTTTTGCGTACGTCTTTTGTCGATACACCAATGGCCAATTATATGCCGTACTGACTCTGTTTAGGGCCCTCGATTGCCGACCCCAAAGTGTGCAGAAGCTGTCAAGAGACCCTTGTTCGCCGCAGTTATTCCTCGGCCGCTGCACAGCCTTCTTCAGAAACTACCTCTACCGCTACAACTACCTTCCCCGTTGTGAAGCCCGTCTACACCATCAATGCCGGCGTGGCCCTATCCCGCCCCCCTCAGATTACCCGCGACCTCTCACAATTTGAGAAAGCATACTATTTCTACCAGAAGCGACTGAACGAGCGTTTGGCGCTTCCATTCACCAAATACTTTTACTTTAAGCGAGGAACGCCAGCGGACGAAGACTGGAAGCGTAAAATCCGGGAGCGCCAGACGCCCGCGCGTGACATCGGCAAGTACAATGCGTACTCGAAGGACGCATGGAACGATGAACTTCTCGTGGGAGCCGTCGAGGCCGAACCGGAGCATCAGGTGGAGATGCTTGTGCAGGATGCGGAAGCCACAGTCAATGCTACTTCCCAAGATACCAGCAAGAAGGAGGAGATCCCCAGGCCATTCCCCCGAGTAACGGAGGCGGATCAGAAGAACGACCAGAGAAGCCTGAACCGGGCCCTTCAGAGGACACTCTATCTTCTGGTTCAGACTAAGGAGGGATACTGGAAGCTCCCCAGCTCTCCGGTGGAGCAGGAGGAAACTCTTCGACTGGTGAGTACACTGGAGATTACCTATCCCTGTGCCCTTTCCCTTTGCTTTCCCTTTGCTCTATATCGGGCGTAATACTAACGTGTCTTGTGCCGCACAGGCTGCTGAACGTACTCTTGCGCAAGCCGCTGGTGTTAACATGAACACCTGGATGGTGGGCTTCCACCCCGTTGGCCACCACGTCTACAACTTCAAAAAGCCGAGGGTGGACACGGCCAATGGCACGGAGCATCTGGGCGAAAAGACTTTCTTCATGAAGGCTCGAATTATGGCTGGACAGGCTGATCTGGCTGCCAACACGCAGAATCTCCAGGACTTCAAGTGGCTGACCAAGGAGGAGATTGCCCCCTTTGTACTGCCACAGTACTACAGCAACATCAAAAACATGTTGGCTGAGCGGTAAATAGTTGGTTAAGCGGGGTGTACGGCTTGCTAGGTATTCTGTCTGAGAATGATCAGATCCTGTGCTGGGATGTGGAAGGAGTGTACTGATAGAACTGAAGAAACTGAGCGATTCGATCCAGTGGGAAGTGCCTATGCCCGAAATGGGCCAGAACTGCATATATATTGTATGTCATGTATAACTAGCTTTTGAATTTACTATATCATTATTCGCAATTCTCCAGCCGTTCTTTGATTTCCAGTATCAACAAAGCCCAAAACGCCATGCAACCTAGTTTAATCCATACCCAATATAAACAAGGCAGTATAAAGGACTTCACCAACAACCCAGCAGAACAGCAAATCAACCAACGATCTAAATTTGTCCTTCGACTACTTCAGATTAAACTTCTGTCCCTGTACAATAGGCTGATCCTTCTTAGACGTCCCCGCCATACTCTTGCCGCACATCGGACAAGCTAAGGTATCAATTAGCACCCCCCACCAGTTTACCATTAGGACAAGAATAAGACATGAGAAGAATAACAAGGAAAATAAACGAACGAACCATTCTTTTTATAAGCACACCGCTGACAAAACTTCCTCCCCTGCTCCGTCTTTGTCTTACAGCTCTCACAAGCAGACGAATAAGCAGCATAAGGATTCTTAGCCTTGGAGCTAAGCAACTTGCTCTATCCCAATTTACCATGTCAGCCGACCCTCTGCCCAAACCCAACCCCGCGAATTCCCAGTCTAATAAAGACACGAAGATGAAAAGCATACCTTGCCAATACCCGTATTCCCTAGCGTTGGCTTAGACTTGCTACCTTCTCCACCGCCACCTCCCACCGAGGTCGCTGGCGAGCCATAGTACATCTCACTTTTGCGTTTGACGCCGGGAGTAGCTAGCTCGGTGGATTTGAGTTTCTTTTGGCATTTTGAGCAGACCATTTCCCTTCTTGTTCTTTTTGTCTTTCTTTTTTGGATTTCCGGGTTGTTTTTGAAGGTTGTTATTGATGATGGGGTTGCGTATTGTTAGTATGAATTGAGTCGTATCTAGGTATTCCCGTTTGGGGTTGGAGTTGCAGCAAGCGCCAAGACCCTAGTACTAGTAGATGGTCGGGGGCATGACGCATTTGCTGCCTTGGAAATCGGGCATCTATAGTTGAAGGATTGTACATAGTTTCGTACCAATAGATATCACTAGGGTAGGAAAATATCGGTCTTCCGACGGGGTTGTTTATCTTATTTTGTATGCTTATCTACTCTTATCTGTTACTGAGGAGATTTGGGAGTGACTTGGCTCCTATCGTAAACAGGGTAGCCCGCAATATCCGCGGGCTGGTGGGTTTGGGGGTTAGCATTGCATTGAACCCCAAGAGATGAGGGTCTTGGTAAGGTAAGTTGTTTGGTTCTAACTGTGTTGGTGAATAGGCGGAAGTAGGAGTAAGAGCCTATAGGAGTCGGGTGTAGGATATATCCTGTTACTAGATAGATGCTGGCACCAATGATATGGCCGAGTCTCTAGAGATTCGAGCCCTTACTAGGAGTGTGAGTGTGATGACTTGGAGTTTGGGGTCTAAAACTGGGTATTTATCATTAAAGAACAAAGAAATAACTAAACAAAGGAACAAGACATACATGATGGTTGGTAGCTGTGTTTGTCCAATAAAATGTACCAGGAGCGATATGTAAATATAGTTGGGTATGTTGGCTCTTTCCCGACATAGATAATGAAGTATGTATAATGGTTTTCCATTGAATATGCCGGTTCTGGTTTGTGTGAGCGATGGCCATGCCAGGTTCTATGTGGATGTTAGGTCGCACAGTAGGATATTGATTAGGCTGTAAACGATATAGTACTTACTTGAACTGGAACCAATGCTCATGCAAATAGGCACTTGATAGGGCTTGGGGCAAGCATTACAACGTGTACTATTTGTATAGATTACATGTGGAGAATTTGCCTAATTTTGCTTTTCTTTTCCTTACTGCTGACTATATGTTGACATTATCGGTAAATTGTCTTCGCAACTTGGCAAGCGAATTCACGGCTACGGAGTGTTCCGTATGATTTTCGCACTCATGTCATAGTGCATTCATAAGCTGAACTATGAAGTATAAAAGGTTTGCCGAGATCAAAGTTTTGAAAAGAAGGGCTGAAGAGCTGAAGAAGGAGGATTCGGATGTAGCATAGCATGGATCGCGTATACTGCTGATCCACCGGCTACCTGCGCCCGACACAGCCCCGATCCACAAAGCCGAGACTTGAAAAGTACCAACGTTAAACAGAGGAAAGGAAGAATAAAAAGCAAAACAAAACAGAAGAGATCGACATTGACCCCGGATAAAATGCAATGCTCATGATAAGTTAAAGTTGCTTCTTCGAACCGTACTGCAGACTTATTTTTGAGCTAGAGCGGTTGGAGTTATCGTATGAGAAATTCCCAGCCCTAATTGGGAGTCTTGCAAAAGCAAACATTGTGGCATATTGGCCTTGCCCTGCATATAGTCACATTAATTTAGGCCTACATGCAGTATTTTCCCCGACGTTGTTTCAGTCAACAAACAATCAATATGTCTGAGTAGGGAGTATGGGCAATGTCTGATGATGAGGGACGCAGTTATTTCTAAATGATTATTACTAGCCGATAGACTACAGATGTTGGTGATGTACGGAGTAAGAGGTTGCTGAATGGGAGAGGGCTTTTGGTGACATTTCCATCGATTCTTATTGATCCCGACACCTGATTGTCACATTCTCCTAAGTCGTGGGAACATCAATAATTTGGAGGGTATACTAAACGGAGAGGCACTGGGATTAGGGTATCTCTTTCTATGAGCCTATCGCCGTCCAGAATTTTTGTCAAGATGGTGGTCAGGAAACACATAAGGACCGCATTCTGTGGAGTGTGCCCGCATTCGCATGATGCCTGGTTCCTTGGTCTAGACGAGTCCCTAGAAGCTCACGCAATCGAGATCCTTGTACTTGACATTATACCGCTGAACACTGGTGCTAGAAGCCGAAAGACACTCAAATACTAGTACACGAGCCAAGAAATAAGTATTGGGAACTGGCTTGTGTAGTTCTATGGAATAATAAGAGTTAAGATTCAGTACAGTCCGTTTATTATCCTGGAACCAAGGTTCCTACGGGCCGTGTATACGATCCATTCTCGAGTTGAGTGGATTGTTCAGGCATACTAATTTTATATCAACGAGTTAGATAGCAGGAATTAGATTAGAACGCGATTTAACTCAGAAACATACAGAAACAAGCTATAGTGCTTCATTTGGATATTGACTAGCAATCAGTTTTACTATGCAGCTAACCATAGTTCTGTTGGATAGGTATGGGTGTTTGTAGGTTTGACCCGGGGTACAACCCCAACTCTTGGGGCTTTCTTATATGAGAGACACACAACCTATTGACAAAATAGGCAGGTCTGAGAAATTTCTATAGATAGATATCTCAAGAGAGGGAGGTAAAAAAACATCAGTGCGTCCATTCACAAGGGACTAGGTATGGCGCAGTTGCCCATCGCGCATTGTGAGTGGAGTGGCAAACAGGGCAATTAAATAAACACTTTTACCCACACCACTTGCAACAACACTAAAAGTACTACTTTCTTTAACACCCATCCACTGCGGACCTGCCACCCATTCTCCATTTTCCTTTCAGCTCCCTTGTGAGTTCTCTGCTGAATCCCCAGAACTAGCCACGAGCGTCGGGCCAATACGTCTCGGACTGTTCTGACTTATTTTCCCTTTCGGCCTCTGTTTCAGCTGCTTTGGACCAACATTATCCCCACAACTCACCACTTGCGTGGTCTGCTTGTCTCCCAATGATGCAGCATCTGACCCGCCACTCCTGAACTGGTCTGCAGCCCATCCGCTGCAGAACTGAACCTGAAAAGCAAATCTCGCCAGAAAAATCCAATCATGATTTCTACGCACAGAGGGCAGAAGTTTAAAAAAAAAAATAATTTTTAAAAAAAAGGAAAAGGAAAAGGAAATCGGGAAGATGGAAGGTTAAAAAAAAAGAAACGTTTGAATAACATGGTTCGAGTGTCCAGCGCCTCGGAACCATCAGAGTAATGAGGACATGTTCCAGCAGAGTGGTTCTTCCTCCGTTGGACATTTCTACTGCTTGGCTATTTTTCCGCCCTGATTTAGGGGGGGGCAAAGTGCCTGCCCCGACTCTATAAATCAGCCCCCATGGCTCAATTGCCACGAATCGTCCCAAGCCTTTGAGATCCGACCTTGCATGTTACCGGCAACTCTAGTCATTGCGACTTTATATACTCGTGTCACTCTGTGGCTTGAATGTTTGGTTCCTCATTCCCCATTGGAGCCTTTCCCTTGAGGCCGATCTATGCACGGCTTTCCGATCGAAACACCATATCTGGCTTTCAACATTATTCTTCCTCTTTTTCTCAATTGACATCTAAAAGTTTGTGTTTATTGTTTGATCCTTCTTCCTCTCCTTTTATATTTATATTTATATTTGGAAAGCCCGTCGCTTTAATTTTGCATCGTCGCCCAGTCTAGACTTGACCCGTTCTTGTTTCCTGGCTGTGCACCTGGGGGACTTACTCAATCCATACTAGGGCCTTGAAAAGTGCTAGGTTGGACTTGGATTCTTGAAGGCCACAACTCCCTTGCTTCTGGCCTTGGAGCACCTTACTTATCGATAATCTCCCTCTTCCTCTCCTTTCTACTTTTACTCTCACTCGGACCCAGTTTTCTATGCTCACGCTGCTGAAAAATCCGAAAACTGTGTGTGCAGCTTGTCGACACCACGGAAGCTGACATTAGAGAATTAGGGGTAAGGCCGAAGAGGCAGGCATTTATCATTATTTCTCTTTGTTTCTTGCCGAGAGAAGTGAGCAACCGGATTAAATCGATTCCCACCAAAAGGAAGAAAGAACGAGAATTCCCTTTGGTAATCCGACTGGTTCGGGTGATACCTAAGAAAAACAATATGCCTCCAGCCAGCTCGTCGTTTACGGCGTTGAATTTGCCAGAAACATTTTCTCTCCCACAATGCATGGAATATTTTACCCTTACCGCGGGTCCCAATACCGATCTCTGGCGGAAGCCTCCAAATGGCGACACGTCCACAGCACCCATTGTATTTACGTCACTACGAAATCCATTCATACTCGCAGAAGTGACCGTTAGTGCGGACTGGGAAATGGAATGGGATCAAGGTGGACTGGTGATTTTTGCTGGAGCCGCACCACAGTCCTGCTCGTCCGGCAGCGTCCCATTGGATTCCGGAATGCGATCGAGTCGTTCGGGATATCCCCAGATCGCACGACCATGCAAATGGGTTAAAGCGGGTATGGAGTTTAGCTCGGGCACCGTCAATGTCTCTTCGGTCAGTGCAACTGCGGATGGAGCTGATTGGTGTCTTTCACCGCTCAACTTCCCCGACAGCGGACCATCGGCCGTGCAGTCGCTGCGCATCAAACTAGAGCGGATCGGTAACTCTCTCTGGATCTGGTATCAGATCCCATCCGCAGTTCCATATGCTCTGACCCCAAGCGCAGTGAGCAGCACGTGGAAGAAGCTACGGGAGGTGACATGGTTCTTCTACGGCGTGGAAGACAAGTTTATCCATGTGGGAGTTTACGCGAGTCGGCCGAATAACATATCTCGCAATAGTACCATGTGGGAGATGATGAATGGTCCGGTCTTGAGCGAGTCCACAGTAGGCTCTCAGGACTCTTTGGTGGTTGAGTTCGAAGACCTAGAGATATACTAACGACGTTTGGCCCTTTACTCCCGATAATATACCATCTGTGTTTCTCCGTTTGGGATTTAATCAGCGCAGCCACGACCCACGAATGGCTTATGAGCCCACGACTCCATGTTTGGCGCCGCTGGTTAGGCCCAACATGTTGAGTCACTTTTGTTCCCCCCCTTGATTTACCATAATTGTCTTGAGGATATAATGTCAAGCATACAGAGGAGCATGATGAGCGTACCGGTGTTTTCCTGTCATTCAGTTCTTCGTTTCTTCGAGACACTTTGATCCAGCGTTTTGGTATATAGCGTTCCCTATGAGATTGAAATCTAAAAACTTGTGTGATCTTTTCTTAATATCACTTGATTGGACACCAAAATTTCTGACGACAGACCTGTTACCCCTGGGGATGAGTCAAAGTAAGAATCCGTGACCAAAATCATGGACCATAGCTAATTTGTTGAGCATGCATGATCTGCAGCGGGGTTCATGAGATAGCGTTGATTTTTGTTGAATGACAACTTGAGCCCAGGGTGAGGCAAAGGTAAGGAAAGTTCAGTCGTTTATACTTCGGCCGAAGATCACTGGGCACTAAACCCAAGTGAGTATCCAGCGCAGAAGGATAAAGTTGGTTAGGCTGCAATGGGACTGAATAGAGCTCACAGCACTGCATTGTCACGGGGGTTTCCATTCTTGGCTGGTATATCATAAATCCATTGCCTCTTGGGTTACACCGCAGGGAAATAATTACCGAGGGATATTTTGTCCCACGGCTCTGGAAGCAGTGGATGCTCCACTGAGTCACCCAAGGGATGGGGGCTGGAACCGCACTGAAGAAAAGACAACAATGGCATTCGCAATTGGTATATCTGATTTCTATGACATTAGAATTGGTATGGGAGAGTGGACGACTTGCAACTTGAAGTTTTACTAGTTCCGGCATATTCGGACAGGGAAGATTGAGGGGGTTATCAACCATTTCTTGATGAAGCCGAGGGATTGTGATCGAAAACAAAAAAGGAAGGCAAAGCAGAGAGGAGTCCAATCTCGATGTCCCGCCTTAGTGCTGCAGATGTAATTTAAAATGCATCGCCCCGGGTTGCGCATGAGTCTCCAGGTGGACAAGAATCGGTAGATCCTTTGGGGATTGGACCATCTCGTCGTATTTCCAATCCCTTCCGACAGGATGATATGATTTCCGCAGTTTATAGTGAGCTGAGTGGAGTCCGTAGAGGAGGGCGACTAAACCGGATGGAGTAGGGGGAATGGTGCCATGACTGCACTATGAGTCTAGTCAGTATAGTTCTCCACTGTTTTTCTTTCCCCTACACGATCCGGCGAGCAGAATTTTAATTTTTATTTGCTCTTCTCATGAAAATTTCCCTCATCAGCCGACTGGAGGATGATCTGATTCCGGCCAATGTGCACAACATCCGTTATCGTTGCATACTCTGGAGAATGGCGCTGTATATCACCAAGTCAATCACTGGCTGGATATTTACCCACTCCTGAATCGGTTTAAGAAACATATTTTATGCTGTTCCCGTGATTGGCGCCGCCCACTCACCGCACTTTCCAGTCGGTAACCAGTGACGTACAGAGACGATGGGATCACGCAGCCATCGAAGATCTGCAGATAATTTAATGCGTCCCCTCCATGCGAACCCGTCCAGAGGAGTAAGCAATGTATCTAGCCCGAGGTTTGTCTATCTCCAACATGACTCAATTGCTGATATCTACAGTTTCGTTCGGAGTGGTTTCTACGTTTTCATATCACTTCTACTTCATGAATCAAGAGCTGTTCTTTTTCTCTTTCTTGTAAACTTCTGTCTCTGGACCAAAACCAACCCCTCTTTAAAGCTTATATTGTATATATATGTGGCATAGATGACGAATTAAAAAAAGAAAAAGCAAAACAATCACAGACGGGTGAAATCAGTATCACTGTGACAACTCCTTCGCTGCCCCGCCAAACTAATCCCTAAGTTAACGGCCTTTCGGCCACTAGCGGGAGTTCAGTCCCTCCATCAGTCAACCTCACTAACCATCTTAGTCCGGAATTCTCCCTCCTCCATCACTTTGAGTGGGGACCCTTCTGTTTTTTTTTTTTTTTTTTTTTTTTTTTTTTTTTTTTTTTTTTTTTTTTTTTTTTTTTTTTTTTTTTTTTTTTTTTTTAATGTTACCCATGATTGACTCGGTCTTTCTCCTTTCTTCTCTTCTTTCTCTCTTCTCCCCTCCTCAACTCATTAACTACCTTACTACTGTACAACTACATCCCAATTGTGCGTTTGGTTTGATCATCAATCAAACTGATACATCCTGATCTGACCAATCCCACCTCCATCGCCCCTCAAAGTTTCACCTCCCTTACCTCTCGCAACCCTATTACCCGATCCCATTGTCCGGGAGGCCTCTTCTCTTTTCGTTCCTCGTTTCTGTTTTTTTCTGTATATTATTCCATCGATTCACTCGATATCCTTGTTGCTGTGTAATTGTTAAAGCCTCTCTTACGCTCTGATCTGTTGTTTGATACTTAACGACTGTTACGACCTTGACGATCATAACAATGGTGGAATCCATTGCTGAGACTGTTACTATCTCTGTCCGTCGTCCGACTGATACCCCTACTATCTTCGTCGCTGGTACCTTCTCGGAACCACAATGGGAGCCATTGGAGCTGAACGTTAAGACGATAGAGGTTGAATCGGAACTAGACCCGGGCCTCTACTCGACCGAGTACCTTTTCTTCCGGGATTTCAAGGTGGCTCCGGGGCAATACCAGTACAGATTCCGAGAAGGCGCGACTGGCGCCTGGTTTCACGATGAGTCTGTAAAGAATGGTAAGTTCGAAACGGCTTCAGCAATTTGTTCAACATAACTACCTCGGGAATAACGACATGGCTAACCAATGCTTTGGGTCCATAGCTTCTGGAACTGAGGGCCTGGTCAACAATTACCTTACCGTCAAGCCTGCGGCCGAGCCGGAGACGCCCGTCCAGAATGGTGTCAGTGACAAGGCGGAGGAGAGCACAAAAGAACCCGAGACGGAAGCTTCGACAAAGGCTGAGCCGGTAACGAATGGCGTCCACAAGCCGAATGGTGTCAACGGAGTCGCTGAGCACGATGCCCCGGTGGTTGACCAGTCTCCTGCCGAGGATCAGAAGACCGAACAAGTCCTTGAAAAACCTGTCGAGACTGATGCCAAAGCAGAGACCGAGACAGAGCCGAAGGAAGCTCTTTCCAATGGCACCAAGGAGCCAGAAGTCAATGGAACTGAACCCGCCGCGCAGACCTCCGAGAGCAAGGAGGAGCCCGTGGCCGAGGAGAAGTCGGAGCCAGTGGTAGAGAAGCCTGAGGAGAAGGTGGATGTATCTCAGCCCGTGGCGGCGGAGAAGGAAGACACTGAAAAGAAAGCCGAAGAAGTTGCAGCCATCCCTACTCAGGAGGAAGAGGAGACGCCGGTTGTAAACGGCGATGTTAAGGTCGAAGCTGAGAAGCAACCAGAGGAATCTCAGCCGCAAAAGGTTGCTGAAGAAGCAACAGATAAACCCGAGGAGCCTGTTGCTGAGACGTCCGCACCCGAAGTCACTGCTGAGGAAACCCCCACTCAAGAATCTACCCCCGAGAAGCCCACCGTCACCGAATCTACTGCAACTGAAACCATTACGGAGCAACCAGTCGCCGAAGCACAACCGACTGCGGAGGTGGAGGCCCCCACCACAGAGCCCGCCGAGACAAACGAGGCGGAAGTTGCTTCTGAGGAACCCACCAAGGAAGAGCTAGCCGTTGAAGAACCCAAGGAAGCTCCAACCACGGAAGAGCCAGTAAAAGAATCCGTTAAGGAGGAGACGGCACCGGAACAGCTCAAAGAGACAGTCTCCGAGAAGCCCTCTGCTGAAGAGCCCGTTAAAGAAGAGACCACCGAAGAGCTGAAGGAGACATCCGCCACGGAGAAGTCAGCTGAGAAGCTCGGCGAGTCGGATAAGGCTCCTATTCAAGAGGAGACGGCGGTGGAAGAGCCCAAGGAGACGGTCAAAGAGCCCGTCAAGGAAGAGACAGCCGCCGAAAAGTCGGAAGAAACGCCCGCCTCTGAAACAATTGTGGCTGAGGAGCCCACCGTCGAAGAACCGGTCGAGGAGAAGGCGGCGCCGGAAGATCCTAAGGATACTTCCACCGCCGAGCTAGCTGTTGCTGAAGAACCAGTCAAGGAGACTGTGAAGGAAGAACCGGCCCCTGAACAGTCTGAGGAACCTGCCGCCCCCGAACCAGTCACTGCTGAAGAACCAGTTAAGGACACCGTTAAGGAAGAACCCGTTGTTGAAAAGTCTGAGGAGCCTGCTGCCCCTGAACCAGTCGTTGCTGAAGAACCGGTAAAGGAGCCTGTCAAAGAGGAGGCAGTGTCGGAGGCGCCTAAGGAGACACCTACTGAGGAGCCTGCCACTAACGACACTGCTGCTCAGGATGAGCCGTCTACTGAGGAAATTGTTGCTGAAACAGTGAAGGAGGTGCCGGTTTCCGAAGAGCCTAAGGAGACCCTGTCCACTGCAGCTCCGGATGCTCAGGAATCGGTTGTTCAAGAGCCCGCTACCGAAGCCTCTGCCACCGAAGATGCCCCCAGCGAATCGACGAAGGAGTCCGGTGTCGAGAAGACAGTGGAAGAGACAACCACCGAGAAGCCTGCAGCTGACGATGTTGTAGTAGAGGAACCAGCGAAGGAGGCAGCAACAGAAGAGACCGAAGTTGAGAAGCCTGTCGTTGAAGCCCCTGTTGAGACAAGTTCTGAAGAACCGGCAAAGGAGTCCGTTCCAGAGAGCACTACGGCTGAAGCTGCTGCCAAAACGGAAGAATCGAAACAGTCTGCCGAGGAGACCTCAGAGCCAGCTGCTAAGGATGAAAAGGCGCCCGTTGAAAAGCCAGTGGAAGAGGCCAAGGCTGAGCCCGCCTCGGAAGAAGCCCCGAAGGAAGAGGTTGCTCAACCCTCCGTTGAGGAAAAACCCACCGAAGAGGCCGCAAAGGTGTCCCCTGCCGAAGAAAACGAGGTCGTTGCCGAAGCCACTAAGGAAGAGGAAGGTCCAGAGGAAGTCACTGCAAAAGCGCCTGTTGAGGTGGAGGCTACAACTAGTGAACCTGTCGTTGAAGAGCCTACACCTGAGAAGCCCGCCGTGGAAGAAACAACCACCGAGGAGCCCTCTAAGGACGTGACAAAGGAGGAACCTATCTCTGAAGTGCCCGCTACTGAGGATTCGACAACGAAGGAGGCAGCTGAGGAACCCGCCAAGGTGGCAGAAGAGCCTATAACGGAAGAAAAGCCCGCTGAGGTGACCGAGCAAAAGACCACGGAGCCAGTCACTGAAGAATCCAAGGAGACGAAGCCTGCTGTGGAGGAAGCGACCCCCGAAGAACCCGTTAAGGATACCCCCGTCGCTGAGCAACCAGTTGAATCCGAGCCCGCCCAGGAAGCTGAACCGGCGCAGCCCAGTGCAGACGAGACTGTTAAGGAGCTCGCTGCTGAAGAGGCTGCTGTCCAGGAGCCTACCCCTGAGGAACCTGCTGTCCAAGAGTCACCTGTAGAGGAACCTGCTACTGCCAAGGAACCTGTCGCTGTCGAGCCTTCTACGGAGGAACCTGCTGCGGAACAGCCCGCCAAGGAAGCTGAACCCGTGAGTGAAGTGTTGACCACTGAAGAGCCTGTCACGAAGCAAGCAGCCGAATCTGAGCCAGTTGAGCAGTCAGTGGTGGAAGAAACGCCTGTGGACGACTCTACTGAGCAGCCAGCAACCGAGACCGTAGCTGAAGAATCGGCCCCAGCCCTGACTGAGAAGCCTGTGGTTGCTGAGACACCTGCTACCGAGGAAGTCGTTGAAAAGGCCACTACCGAAGAGCCCGCGCAGGAGCTTGTCGCTGATAAGTCTGCTGAGCAGCCAACTTCATCGGATGTGGTCGAGGAGACCGCTGAATCTTCTAAGGCTGTTGTCCCCGAGGAAGTCACGTCGAATGAGGTTGAGCCTACTGCCTCGCAGGTCCACGAAGAGAAGCCGGAAGAGGTGACTGAGCTACCTAAGGAGGAGACAGTTGCAGCTGAGACTGTGGCTGTTGAGACCCCTGCAGAACAGAAGGCCCCAGAGACCGAAACCGAGGTTGTACCCAAGGCTGAGATTGAAGAGGCTATGACCATTCAAAAGGAAGAACCTAGCAGCGAGCCAGCAGCAGCAGCCCCTGCTGAGG